ATGGATGATGGATGGATCCATGGATGGTGGATCCATGGATGATGGATGGATCCATGGATGATGGATGGATGAGGGATGATGGATGATGGATGGATGAGGGATGATGGATGATGGATCCATGGATGATGGATGGATGATGGATGATGGATGGATGAGGGATGATGGATGATGGATGGATGAGGGATGATGGATGATGGATCCATGGATGATGGATGATGGATGGATGATGGATGATGGATGGGTGATGGATGGATGGATCCATGGATGATGGATGGATGATGGATGGATGATGGATGGATGGATCCATGGATAATGGATGGATCCATGGATGGTGGATTGATGAGGGATGATGGATGATGGATCCATGGATGATGGAACCCCCCAGATGCCCCAATCTCTTCCACCCTCAGCTCCCTCCATCCCAACTCTGCTCCCAAACCCCAAATTGTTCATTTTCTGCTCCCTGCCACGTGCAGAATTCCAAAACAAGCCTCCAGCTGCTGGGCTTGGAAGGTGGCACCTCCTTAAACCTCCCCCAAAACACCACCCCTGGAGCTCACCACCGCCCATGGGGAGCAGCCAGGAATTTTCTGGGAATTCTGCTGCGGATTTAACCCTTTTTTTCCCCGAATCCTCCATGTTTAGATGTGCAGAAGCAGTACGAGTGTGCCAATTTTGGGGAGCAGGGGATCACGGTTGGCTGCTGGGACGTTTATCGGCACGACATCGACTGCCAGTGGATCGACATCACCGACGTCCCCCCCGGGGATTACCTCTTCCAGGTGGGAGAAACAGCTCTTGGGACACTCCTCCTGCTTTTGTCTTACCAGTCACATCCAGAATTTACCAAATTTCTTCATTTGGCACCTCCAGCTTCTGTTTGTGAAGGGATTCTATTCCCAGAGGCCTCAAAGATAAAGGATTATCCACCAGGATAATTAATACACGCTCCCAAGGGGAAAAAAATCAGGGCCCAAAACCACAGTTTGGAGATTAAAGCCTTTAAAAAAATCCATGTCCAGCTAATCCTGGAGAGGCCCAGCCCAGCTGATGCTGTTGACAGCGTTGTCACATTCCCAAAGCACAGCATTCCTCTTTGGAGCTGGCTGGAAGCAACATTCCCTGAATTTTGGGGTTGAACTGTGCTGGCTGTGGGGTTTTTACAGGAATTTGGGCTGGGCCTCCAGTTCATGCCCATGGGGGGGGGAATTTTCTGGGTCCAAAAACAGCCACTGGCACTGGGGAGGAGGGAGAGGAGAGGAATGATTCCTGTCTGAGCTGTGTGAAATGGAAAATGGGGCTTTGGAGGGAGATTTTTTGGGGTGTGTCTGTGGTGAATTGGAGATGGAGCAGCTGCTGGGAGGAAAGGATGAAGGAATTGGTCATGGGAATATCAAACCAAACCAATTTAAATTTGGCTTGGTCCATTGTCAAAGCCATTTGAAGTTTAATTAACTTGGGGGCTTTTTAGGACAGAAAATTCACCTGGAGAAGGGAAAGCTCCAGGGAGAGCTCAGAGCCCCTGCCAGGACCTGAAGGGGCTCCAGGAGAGCTGGAGAGGGGCTGGGGACAAGGGATGGAGGGACAGGACACAGGGAATGGCTCCCACTGGAAAAGGGGAGATTTGGGTGGGATATTGGGAAGGAATGAGGGTGAGGAGGGGCTGGGATGGAATTCCCAGAGGAGCTGTGGCTGCCCCTGGATCCCTGGAAATGTCCCAGGCCAGGTTGGGATAATCTGGGACAGTGGGAGAGGTGTCCCTGCCATGGCAGGGGTGGCACTGATGGGATTTAAATCCCAACCCAAACCATTCCAGGATTCCCTGAGCGAGGCTTTATTCCCTGCTCTTTATCTGAGACATTTCTCTTTACAAAAAAAAAAAAAAAAAAAAAAAAAAAAAAAAAAAAAAAAAAAAAAAAAATTCACTTTCTGCTGGGAAAAAAACCCCCAAAAAAACCCAACTGATCCTGCACCCTGCCAAGTCACCAACCCCAACCCCTGTCCCTCCACCCCTCCCAGGTCGTGATCAACCCCAACTACGAGGTGGCAGAGTCGGATTATTCCAACAACGTCATGAAATGCCGGAGCCGCTACGACGGGCAGCGCATCTGGATGTACAACTGCCACATAGGTGGGCTCTGCTCCTGATGATTTATTTCCCTTTTTTTTCTCTTCACTCAGGGTCGGGATTGAAGCACGAGAGATGGATTTTTGTGTTGGGGCTCAGTTGTTTGTTAATTTTTATCTAGAGTACAGTGAGTGCTACAGCAGTTCCAGCTGGCAGGCTTTAAAAATGACAAAATGGAGCTGGGTCTTGCTTGTCACGAGGTCTTTTAAGGTTTAACTGTCCAATTAAAAACTGATATTTTTATTATTTCTACTTTTGAAAACCAATAACCAAACACCTGTGACCTGCAGTGCAGGATTTTCCATCCAACCAAAAACTTAAAACCAAAAAGAAGAAGGAACAAGAAGGAGGAAAAAGACAAAACCTCCATCTTGTCCCATACCTTGGGGTTTACTATAAAATTTGGGGTTTACTCTAAAATTTGGGGTTTACTGTATTCTAAAACCCCCAAATTCCAAACCTTTCACCATGTGATATCACACATTTTCTGTTCCAACTCCACACCAGGGATTTGAACTCCCACCACTCAAATTTTGGAAGCTTTTCCCAAGGCCTCCAGTCACAGGCTGTGCTCTTTTGGGGGTCAGTACCTGACAATACAGAAAATTCAGAACTCCCAAAATTCAGGGTTCCAACATAGCAGGGCCAGGGATGCTCCAAGGATTCTTCTCAGAAAAGGAATTTTATGTTTTCCCCTCAGGAAAAGCTCTGGTGCAATCCCAGCAGGGGCACAAGCAGCTTGGGAAATTCCTTCTTCACAAAAATCAAATTATTTTGCCAAGCTGGGATGTCTTGGGGTCACGAAGGTTCTCTTGGAAAGCAAACAAAGCAGTGGAAAAGAGTGGAAAAAAACCCAAAATTCTGCTGTGCCAGGCAGGAATTAAAATGTCCCTGGATTTTCAGGGAAATCTCAGTTTTCTTGGAAAAATGTAAAATATTATCATTTGGTATTTTATTTTTTGGTCATGGAAATATCAAAGCCAAACTGATTTAAATTTGGCTTAGTCCATTGTCAAAGCCATTTGAAAATGGAATTAACTTGGGGGCTTTTTAGGACAGAAAATGAATTAAAACAACTCCCTGCCCAGCTCCAAATAAAACCAGCTCTGAAAATTCCCTTCTTCAAGGAATGTTTTTCCTGGAGAAAAAAAAAAAAATAATAAATCCACGTAACCACTGATTTTTCTCATTATTTTGTTGGGATTTTAGCAGAAAATTCTCATCTTGAGTGTCACATTTCAGCCTGTGACCCAGTTGAAACCCATTCCAGCTGGTGCATCGGCTCTGCAGCTGAGCTGGGAGATATTTCCAGTTAAAAATAAAAGTTTTTAACTTTCAATTTGCCCTAATTAAGAGAAAAATTAAGGTTTGGTTCTGGATCAGAGCAAACAGGCCTGGCTAAGCCTCACTTTATTTTTTTTAAGCACCAAAATGATGAAATTTGGGTAATTCAGATTTGCAAATCCACGAAAATTCCAATCCAGCCTTCCTGGGGACTCCTGGCTGTGCCACTTAGGGCAAGATTTAATTAAAACTTCATTTAATTAACTCCAAACCTTTAAGCCCTTCGTTTCCAGGGCTCTGGATCCACCCAATCCCGATATTCCCAAGAGTTTTTCCCGTGCTCTTTTGATGTTCCCAAGGGATTTTTCCTCTCCCAATGTTCCCAGGTGTTTTTCCCTGTTCACCCTGTGCTCTCCCAATGTTCCTGAGCGTTTTTCCTGTGCTCTCCCGATATTCCCAAGAGTTTTTCCCTTGCTCTCCCATTATTCCCGGCTGTTTTTCCCCGATATTCCCGGTGTTTCCCCCGCTATTCCCGGCTGTTTTTCCCTCTCTCGCTATTCCCGATTGTTTTTGCCATTCCCAGTATTCCTGAGTGTTTTTCCCAATGCTCTCCCGATATTCCCGGCTGTTTTTCCTGCTGTTCCCGGCTGTTTTTCCCCATTATTCCCTGCTGATTTTCCCGATATTCCCGGTGTTTCCCCCATTATTCCCGGCTGTTTTCCCCGCTATTCCCGGCAGTTTTTCCCCATTATTCCCGGCTGTTTTCCCCGCTATTCCCGGCATTTTTTCCCCGCTATTCCCGGCATTTTTTCCCCATTATTCCCGGCATTTTTTCCCCGCTATTCCCGTTTTTTTTTCCCCTCTCCCTCTCACCATTTCCTCTCTTTCCCCGCGGCCTCTCCAGGCGGTTCCTTCAGCGACGAGACGGAGCAGAAGTTCGATCATTTCAGGGGACTCACAAATAACAACGTGTCTGCCCGGTAAAATTCCCACTAATTTAAGGAAGGGCAGGATTCCCGCTCCGGCCCTTCCCGAACCACTGCACCCCCAGGACATGGAGCCTCAAGAGAACTGGGAATTTCCAGGTGGATTATTCCCGAAAAGAAGCCTCTTCCCTTTCCCGGTTTTAGGTGCTCGGGCCACCCCTCGGTGCCTCCTGCAATTCCAGCTCTCCTCGGCATTCCAAAAGATTTCTTCCCCTCGCTCAGGTTGGGTGCCAGCCACCCCCCCCCAAAAAAAAAGTGCCTTTATCCTTCATTTTCGAGGCATTATTTGGGAATTTTCTGGCTTTTTTTTTCTTTTTTTTCTTTTTTTTTAAATTTTTTCTCCCGTTCTCGACGCCTCTTTTTGTGCTGCTGCTTTTCCCGCACTCGGCTCCTCCTCAGCAGCAAGGAAAAAGGAAAAA